CGCTAGGAACCAGACCCTGATTGGACCGCGCCCTTAATCTTGCGTATAACTGTAATTTTGGTGGGCGCAATCGTAACTGTATCTCTCTTCTTGCTCTCGTCTTCTTCCCGCCTCCTTTCTCCCGGCTATGCATATGCCTCCCTACGACCTGATTGGCCAAGGTGTTGCGTGCTCAAATTGATGCGTGGAGAGTGGCTACATATTCTTATAATTTTTATTCTTATAACTTTAAATTATGACATTATATTGCAATTATGCAATAATTCTCAGAACGTAGGCACTTCCTCCTCCCCCCCCCCCTTCTCACGTAGGCGTAATCCTGTATCTTTCGCGCAAGCATGCATGCTATAAATTCCATAAGCGCGATTAGTTTTCTCTCTATGAAACCTGGAGTTAGCACGATCAGTGAGGGTCGGCTACCGAGTCAGCTGGAAGAGGTGAGTCGACGAGGGAGTTGGGCGATCCGACGAGCTGGTGTCGGGTATGCGGGGTTGACGTGCGGGTCGCGACGGGTTGTGGCGCACGTGCGAACCTGGCTTGCATGCTCGACCTAAGCGGGGTGACAACTCTGTGTTGATGCACGACGACGGACTGCCCACATCGAGGAGTGTAGAGAGGGAGAGAGAGTGAGAGCAGTTGTGTGCGTGTGTGGGATGAGGTCCCTTCTTTTGCTCATTTGTATAATTTTGGTCTTTAATGTGGTCGATTTTGTTGCGGCCGTTTCAGACTTTTCCTTGTAATTTGTCTCGGATTTCCTTTGTCGCTTTGGCTTTGTATGTATGCATGGAATGAATGTGAACTCCTCTCTTTTTGTTTATGGTCTTTTCGGATTTCCAATCTTGTCTTGCGATTATTCATCAGCATGAGCAACACTCTCAGATCTGATTGGAAGCACCAACAGAAAAATTCCCACGATAAATTAAAGTTGAAAAAACATTCTATAAGAAAAAAATCCTTCATATTTATAAATTATCATTCCAATGTTTGTCATATTCTAAAATTTCCAGTTTTATCTGATAAGTTCCCGTCTAAATATGAGTTTTTCCTTCCAACTACATCTATTTGTTCAAAATGGAATGAAAGTCTGGACGAGTTTATGGAATGTTTCAATTAATTTTTCATTATACTACAACAAATATCTTCTAATTTATATTGGATTCAACTATTTATGAATGAAAATCCTTACTTAGAATGACATTCCAATTAAAATATTTCATGAACTCATTCACACTTTCATTCCATCTCTAGCATGCAGTCCAAATAAGAAGGGATACCCTATTCTTGGAATGAAAGTTTGCAAGTAAGATGAAAAAATTTAAAATTGGAATGACATTTTTAAAGATGGAATGAAAATTTAAAATTTAGATCGTAATTTTACTATAGAATGATTATTTAATTCTAGGAAAATTTTTTGTTGACTCGTTGCGGATCTATGAGTTTAATCATTGGTCTTCAATCGTTATCAAATCACTACGAATGCTGCGATGTGTTGATTGTCCTCTCCTTTCGTCACATGCATGGCATGGGTATGAATGTAATGTCTTGATCTCACCCCATATAGTATGAGTAGGATAGTTGCATGCAAAACGAACGCAGTTGGTACACCGAACCAAGGAGCGATCTGCTCTCGCTCATGTGCACGCTCACGTAAGACCGTGATCGGGAGAAAACCGAGTCGCAGTGTACGTGCGCGTCTGCATGAATCGACGCCGACCCTTACTCACTACGAGGATGGAGGAGATCGAGTTCACTGGTCGGACATGGCCGCAAGAACCCCCTCTCGGATCGCCAATCATAAGAGCAAAAGGGACCCCGAGTATCACGGATACTGGGAAGGTGAACAACTTAGACGGCGGAGAAACTTGAGAAACCCGGAATTTCCCTGTCTGACGGAACACGATTGATTGTGCGCACGAGATTTCCACTGGGTCATAACTAAGTTAAACGATCCCCAGGGCCCGGACTACCCGGATACCGACAATTCTCAATATAATATCTCCAGGCTTCGCCGTTATTACTACCGACTTTCCTCCTTTCCATCTCCTCCTCCCATACCACAAGCTCACAGTGGTGTCGTGGAACTCCATAGCCCGCTATTGGCCCCACACGACGTACGAAAAGTGTCAGCGGCGCCAGGCGTATCGAGCATCGGAAATTGCCTGGCAAACCCAAACCGGGATCGAACGGCGCCTACAACTGATCGAACGGCGCCTACAACTGATCGAACCGCGCGGTAGCTACCGCGACCCACTGGTTCACCAGATGAAGAATCAACCACCGCGGCGCAACTGGCAGAGAAGATAATCCCAGAAACGGTCTTCGCGTACCATCTTGCACTACTACCCCTAAACTTGCCACCTGGAGATCTCAATTCCAACCCGGGACTCCACCCCCACTTTCCTAAAATCCTTGGCACAACCACTTTTCGCACTTCCAGGCCCCCGTCCCACTTCGATCAGGAAGTCGCGTTGGGCGTGATGTTGGGCGTCACAGGGCTACGTGGCTCTGGTATGTAGAGGCGTGATTATGCAAACTATTTGGCCGGCGAGGAACAAAGAGGTGTTCAAGGGGGGGGAAATCCTGGCTCAATAGCAGCATCAACAAATCCGTAATGCTATACAGCTCTCCATCCTCACAGATTGGAGAAAGTGCGTGGGGAGTCAAGGGAAAGGCTGACCCTGGTTTCTGAGAACATGGGCGCAACAAAACCCACTGGCTAAGATCACTCATTAGTGTCAATTGATCCTCACCAACTGGCTGTTTCATAGGTAATGCCTTTAGGGAGGGTCGCCAGAAGGGGCCAGAAAGTCGGGCCAGTTGGCCCAACTACTTTGAGGTGGTCTCAGGAGATAGGGTCTAGTTTTGGGTCCTCCCCAGCTCGAGATTGATAGGGCAGATCGGCGGTCTTGGTTTACAAGTTAGCCCTACCGTCTGGTTATGTTAAATTTTTGGAGCTTCAAGTTTAAGGTTTCTGGAAAGTAGACTTGCTAGGAATGGGACACTGGACCCATGGCAAGGTCCCACTCACGCAAATTACGAGATTTCGGTCGTTGATCTTTGCTATCTACAGTCTGTATCTCTTAATTCGTGCAAGTGGGACCTAGCCCCCGGTTTCCAGGAGTATTGAATGGATATGGTAGACGGTTTACCTCGAGCTACGACTCCTCAGCTCAACTGGCCGAGGCTGCCAAAATAACTCCAGGTTGAATTGTGAGGTCTCCGGCCTCGTCCATGATGTTTCGTCTGAAAAAAATATACCAAGTTTTCAAAAAAAAAAAAAAAAAAAAAAAAAAAAGTCGCCAGTCGGGTCAGATGAATCCATGCGCTAATCGCTGTCTCTTATACACATCTAGATGTGTATAAGAGACAGGCGTCGCTTCGGCGACTCTTACCGAAGCGACGCTTAGCGCCTAAGCGTGATTAGGGTTGGCTTTTGCATTCCACGGGGGGGATCGGCATGCCGCGTACCCGGCTTGTTGGGGTGGTGACCTTCGTTCTCGACAGTTTCCAGGATCCACCATGTATGTGTTGAGGTGATTCTCCCTGTGGAATAGCAGGGAGAGGGACGTCTGCTGAGTAGGGCCGGCCCTAGGTCTCGGCCCCGGGAGATCTCAAATTATAGAGACGAAGACCAAGGGGCTAAGTCGATGAAGCAGAATGGACGCGTGGGACTCGCCACCGGACAACTCTCCTCCAAGGTTTCAACGACCCATTTGAACTATGAAAGGTATTATTTGCTACCGGCCTTCTAGTTGACTCCAGGGGGAGGAGATTGTATGTGCTTGTCCCACTAACCGGTGCCTCACTTGGATGACAAAGTACTAGATAATTGCTTACTGTTAACCTTGGTGCTTCCTAGTTGATAACTTTAGCTAGTGTGAGGTTTGCTGCATTAATTCACGTATTTAATTGTGGACATCTCCGAATAAGAAAAAGGATGGGTCGACGAGATGGGGGATGGAAATGCCCAACCTCCTCCTCCCCCTCCCCCTCTGAACCTGACTTCGGAGGCGGAGAAGCAGCGAATCAAGGGGATTCTCAACGTCTACTACTCAGATGGGATCCTGCCCAAACGGCTGTCAAAAAATATAGTGGAAGTTGGAGAGGACCACGTCCGGGTAGTGGTCAATCCAGACGTTCACTGTATTCAGGTGGACTGGTCCAGAGATCATGCCGTAACTATCCTGTTTGGTAACGAGGCAACCTCGCTAACTATAAACGTTAAAAAATTAATCCTGTTTGGTGACGAGGCAACCTCACTACCTATAAACGTTAAAAAACGAATTGTCCGTACTTACGAGGATGGATGGGCGATCAATCGCTCAATTGACGCCCCTCGTAAGTGAGGATTGTTCCATAACGAATGTTGGAATCTAATAACGTATGTCTCTTCATCGAGTCAGATTGCTACCTTTATGTTATAGAAAAGACAAGATAAGATTGTACTTGATAATAAGACGTACTTGGCCACCTTTCGTCCGTGGATGAATGATAATCAGTTACAGGAATGGAGGGAGGCCATGAGATTTCCCTTTTTCAGGATAAGATATCTGCAGGTTCCAATTTCAGCAATGCCACAGCTGAAATCTGTAGTCGAAGATGCCTTCGGTTCTGTTCTAAAATCTCTTTCTCCGTTTAAAGAACCAGGTAAACCGGAGCTATTAAATATTCGCTTCGACGTCGTACCTTCGGTGAGGATGAAGTACAAACCTTGTCTGTTGATTGACTACTTGGAGGACGGATATGCAGAAATCGAAGTTATCTGTGCGGAAACACCTTGGTGTGAGACATGCCGTCGTTACTTCCATGACTCCAAGGACCCTGACTGTCCGTCGAGGTAAAAGAAAGGTCGCACACAAGGGCAAAACAAGCCCTCAGGAGTCGACCATTCGGACAAAACCTTGGACCCTAATCAGAACCAAAAAAGGACAAAGTCAATGGTAAGGGAAGAGACTCTGAGCAGGGTTGTAAACGATACAGATCATACAGGCGCACAGACGATGTTGATCAATCTCAGGGGAAGGAAAAGGATCACGAACCGGAGGGCTCTGACACAAGGGACAGTAGGAATAACAGGGAGAAGGCTGCCCGTCCGAAAAAATCCCATGGGAAGGGTAAGGAACTGGTGGTATGGAAAAAGGTTCTCACCCCCCCTACGAGACAGCAGAGTATTCATCTGAATTCTCCCCCCGCCCCCCAGTCCAAGAAGAAAGCGCTCCCGGAAATGATAAGATTTCGGGGACGGTACAGACCGGGGACGGAAGAGAACAAGGACAGAAAAAGGTTCTCTCAAAGGGGGAGGGGAATCCTCCTCAAGAAGCGAAGGATATCGAAATGACGATCGAGGAGGAAGCTGCAGATGGTGACGAAAAACAAGAGGAGGAAGAAGAAGAAGAGGAGGAGGAGGACGAGGACGAGGAGAAAGACATGGAGGAAGAGGGGAGCAAGGAGGATGACGAGGATGATGATGAGGAGCAGGAAGACGAGGAGGAAGAGGAGGAGGAAGAAGAAGGTAGGGCGGAGGAGGAAGCGAGCGAAAAGGGCATTGATGAAGGAAGTGAGGAGGAAGTGAGTGAAGGAAAGGATATAGGAAATGTGGAAGGTACTGAGGAGGAGGAAGAGAAGGAGAAAGGAGGTAATGAGGACAAAGAGGAGGAGAAGGGAGGGGATAAGGAAGAGTCGGAGAAAGGAAACAGCGATACAGTCAAAGGGAAAGAGGTAGAGTTAGTGTCCCGCTCATCTCCTAAGGCAGGAAGTACCCACATAACAGAATAAGATCTTCAAAAACAGGCGGTATTAAACCTGAAGGCCCTTAAGGATGACACCTAGAGGCTTGTAAGGGGGAGCGATCCGCCAGAGAAGGGTTCCCCAGGCGCAGACGGTCATGTCAAACAAATAAGATTAGAAGACCAGGTACCCAAGGGAATTTTCCAGAGGGGGTCAGATCAACCACCGCCAGAAAAATTATCAGTCTACAACAACAATTATTTTTCCCCGGTCGAGGAAGAGGAGAAAGAGTATGATAAAGATGAGGAAATTTCCCCCCCGAAATCCCTCATCCCTGTCCATTCGGAAAGAGAAGCTAATATAGGAGGAGGACAGACAGAGGAAGAGTCAGGACGAGGGTTCACAGAGTCCCACGAGAAGGTGCAGGGGATGTCACCGAGATCCTCCCCTTTCACAAACTTAGCAGTTTCCTATTTCTGCAGGAACTTGGATCTGTAATGGCAAAGAGGGGCTCCCCAGCAAAGAAACTCAAAGTGTACGACAACTGCGGGGCATGTCCCTCGGAGCCTAGACCTGAGGAACCTTCTCCGGAGTACCGAGATGTATTGAAATTTGAAGGGTGAAAAATAACTCTCATCTAGAGCCACGCAAGGAGAAAACTCTCCCTAGCCGCTCCGATGAAGACTCTCGCTAAAGCAGATAGAGCAAAAGAGCCGATTAAACAGTATGTTATTCCATTAATTTGCTCTCATTCGATCGTGGGATCTAAGCTCTTAACATGAATTACGAACGACGATGGGTTGGAAATCCCATCAATACCAGTTTCAGCCCCCCCCTCGGAAGAAGAGGTGATTGAGTTAGCGAAGTGCCATGTGCTTAACCACACGGGCTCAGTTGTTGTCTTGCCGTCCTTTAAAGTTAATCGTTAACTCTCTCAAAAGCAACAGCACCCCCCGGTGGTCTTCCACATGGCACTCATAGGCATAAAAACCATCAACGATACTTTTGATAAATGGTGTGACCTTCGAGTTCATTGGTTCCCGCTTCAGGATTTCTTGATTAACAAAACGGAAACAGTTGAAAAACGGCTAATGTCAGCGGGCAGAGTAGGTTCGGTGATTGTGGACTGGATAAGGTACACCAATATCTGGGAACGTCTTGCTGGCGATTGTTTAACTCAGAATCATCTGACAGTCAAGCAACCATATAGGCCGAAGGAGTGCAAACGAAAAACGTCTACCCCAAATGCTCAGACCCGGATCCAAGATACCGGCGTAGGAGGACTTGATGGTAATACCGTCTAAGCTACGTTTGGCATCTTGGAATGTCCGTGGGCTAGGGGACACCTCAAAACGTTGTAAACGACCAAGGCTTCTAGATTATATGCACTCAAATGATGTCCACATTATCGGCATCCAGGAAACAAAATTGAATCCTGGGAAGTTATAGCAGCTGAACAGATACTGGCAAGACCCTCAAAGCTGGGCCTCAGCAGAGGGAACCAGTGGAGGTGTGGCGATACTAATAAACAAGGATCTGCAGGTAGAAGTTCTTGACTCATATTCAGATTCGAGAGGGCGAATTGTATGGATCAAGTTTCAGTTAGGAGAGGAAGAATGGGCGGTTGCCTCTATTTATGCCCCTGTGGAACTACCGGAGCGAATCGATTTTCTGGCTAACCTCCCCGCCTTTCTTCCGGACACTGAAAATCTAGTGTTACTTGGTGACTGGAATACGATTCTAGTTCCAAGCCTGGACTCACTTTCAGTCTTCCCCGCAAGACCCGATGCAGAGATGTTGACAACTCTAACTGATGCTCACTCGTTTTTTTATGTTTATAAAATGCTCAACCCGGAATCCAATGGTTTTACGTGGTATGGCCCTAAACCTTCCAAGAACACCCAGGCACCTCGTAGTCACCTGGACCTGATCTTGGCTAGAGGCTTCCAATGGGATAGATGTTTTTGGTGTGACATCACACAAGGTTCCCTTTCCGGCCATCTTCCAATATTAATAGATATAATTTCCCCGGATGTGATTAAAGGGAGCGTCCGCCGTTCAGGTTAAATGTGAATTTATTGAAAGATGAAGGGATAAGACAATGGATAAATGACCAGATGTTCCAATGGTCCGAGTCCCAGGACCTTTTTGACAGTAAGGTCGATTGGGCTGAAGTAGGCATCAACATAATTAGAGTGGCACTCATAAATTTCTCACGCATGAAGGCAACCAATCGGTCCTGGAAGGAAACACAGTTAAAAAGGCAAATCCAACAAGCGGAGAGCCTCATGGGCACCGATCCATTCTCGGACTTCTTTTGGTCGGAGAAAAGGAAAACAGCTCTAGTGGAATTGGAGAAGCTAGAACTCCTAAAACAAACAGAATGGTTGGAATGATTTAAAATCCGGGTTGTTTTTTTTTTTTTTTTTTTTTTTTGGAAAACAACTCGATCGAATGCTAGATGTGCTGATAAGAGCAGACACATCTAGCATCGTCGGGGAGGCTCCATCTATTAGTGGGGAGCAGCACCAGTTGGAAATCGGGTCCAGGGTCCCTTGGATACACCTTTGTGGTACAGTGATTGTTGGGCATATGGCCATTAGAGTTATTTTTCCTGAGCTTTCTTCTCTCCCCCGGGGCTGCGTATGTTACCCTTCCCAATTGCAAAGCTCCTACTTCCCACTGGCCTAGCCCCACCAAGGGTGGTGTCCGTCGTGCTTGAGCGTCCATGCTTCTCCAGCCAATAGTAGCTAAACTCCTACCCTTGGTGTCTGCAACCCCCCTGTTTGTTTCAAGCCCTTTTGTATGACGAACCCAGAGATACAATCGAATGACGAAATTATCTTTTAGATCCCTAATCCTGTGTCAAGCTAAACCCTTGATAAGGAAGCTAAGACACCCATTTGCCATAGATCTCACTCCATCTTTGGACATAGAGACTATGTGTGTCAATGCCTACGATTATTTCAGAGATATCGTCACAGCAAGGAAACCCTTTGATTCACTAGACGTCGATCTTTCGTTGAGTTGCAGCTTCTGGAACAGAACAACGAAGTACCTTCCAACAGCTACAGCTAAAGCTTTGGAGGAATCATTCACAGAATCACAGTGGAAGAACTTACCCGGGCAGTTAAAAAGATGGCCTTGGGTAAATGCTCAGGCCTTGACGGTCTGCCGGTGGAATTGTACACTGCTTGCTGGCCGGCCTTTGGCCCGTTTCTGTGCGAAGTTTATCATTATAACATAAGGTTCACGGGTTCCCTCCCTAAAAGCTTCTTAAAAGGGGTAATCTCCCTACTCTACAAGAAAGGTGATAAATCTGAGGTAAAAAACTATAGACCGATCTCCGTTCTCAACGTGGCTTACAAAATTTTGGCTAAAGCCCAGACGTTGCGCTTGGCCGAGCTTCTCCCCTCGTTGGTAGGTCAGGAACAGGGCGTGTTTGTGAAGGGTCGCTCTATCTTTGAAAACATCATGTCGACCCTTCAGGCGCTGGATGTAATTTCAAACGAAAAGCGAGAGGTGGCAGTCCTCCTCCTAGATATGGAGAAGGCATATGACAAGGTAGGCTGAACTTTTGTCCTTACCACCTTGTCCAAAATGTGCTTTGGCCCACAATTTTGTACCTGCGTTAAAGCCATGTATGCTCAGGCATCTTCATCGGTCATAGTAAATGGGCACCTATCCGAAGACTTTGAACAGTCTCGGTCATTGCGTCAGGGTTGTCCCTTGGCGCCGCTTCTTTTCGTGTTGCAACTTGAAGTCCTACTGGACAACATTAAACACAACCCAAAAATAACAGGGTTAAAACTCTCCCCCTCCATCCATTGGAGGGGAGGAGCAATCGCAGATGATCTCACGATTGCCTACGAAAACACGGTACTAGCACTAACTGAACTAAGACTAATTCTGGACGAATATTGTCATCTTTCTTAGGCATCTAGCAATTGGGACAGATCTACATACTTTTTCCCACACCTCTTTACCCTCTGTGTACAATGGGGCCTTCGTCAGATACCAGCAGGCTCTTCAGAGCGGTTCCTGGGAGTACAAGCTTCATTAACAGATTGTTCTGCTGATCAAGACAAGATTTTACAGGAGAAACTTTGTGCCAGAATCATTTGGTGGATCAGAAATCATAAACTCTCCCTGTTCGGGAGAACATTGGTTTTATCCTCAGCGACCTTTTCTCTTTTGTGGCTCCGTCTAGTGGTCCACTGGTTGGGGGACAGTCCCTACTCTTGAATCAAAAGGGTCTCAACAAGGTGCCTGTGGAAACTAGAGGCTACGGAAGAAAAAGACCAGGGGTTTATCACTCGAGTGGCCTGGGACACCATATCCTTCCGTAGGGACAAAGGGGGTCTAGGTGTATTGGACCCGAGAGATCAAAATATCACATTGCTAGGGAAATGGGTAGTAAAAGTCTTGCTGGAGAACAAGAGTAAAGGCATGTGGATTTAGCAGAATATATTTTTTTAAAGGATTGGTCCTTGGAAGAGGATAACCACGTTTGGACTTGCCTGTTGCAAACGGATATGCTGAAAAGAAAAGTTAAATCTAGAGTTTGGACAGGTATCCTTAAAGCGTGGAGTAGAATCAGACCCTCCCCATGGAGGGATCCTTCAACGAAATCAGAAGTGGTGAGACAAATACTTTTTGATAATCCGCTTATCAAAGGTGAGTCTGGGGCCCCCTTTAGTACAACGGATAGGGCAGGCAATTTTGCCAGGTCGTGGATACAACAAGGGGTGCTTCAGGTAATCCATACCTGGGACGTGGAACGTCAGGGATGGCGTTCCTTAGATGAGATGAGGAAGATCCTCCCTCGACTTCACTCGTTACAGACAAACTATTTGGTGATTCTAAAAGCACTTCCACCTCACTGGGAAGCGTTGTTGAGAGAGGAGACGGATCACACCCAGGGGTCCAGGCTGATGGACCCTTCCTCGGCAAGAACAGATAAGAGAGAGGACACGGAGCATAATGAGGGGTCCTAGCTGGTGGACCCTTCCTCGACAAGAACAGATAAGATCTTGAGAGTACAGGGTCCCGATCTCAGACAGAGATAAAAGTGGAATCATGGAGGGTAGGGCGGGACATAGGAAAACGACGAGAGATTACCTTTGAAGAAGAGGAAGTTTTACAAACAACTACGGACCTGGTGGAAGTTAAGGTCTGGGAGACAGAGGCGAAAGGCAGGAGGCATGGAGTGCTACTGCATGGCCGAGTGGACTTATTCAAGGTAGATCCAATTTTATATGGGTGGAAACTAGGTCCGGGGATCACGGTCCCTTTGTTTGAATATGGAACGAAAGTTGGGATGGCCTTCCTGCGAGATAAAAAAATTCAACCGATAGATGTGGCAAAACACAGATTCCACAAGATCCAAGGCCAGACAACCCCTAACTCGGACTTCCCATCCCTTTGGCAGGTGCTGAAGAAAATCCCGTCCCAAAGACAAGCAAGCCTGATGTGGTCCCTCTCACTGCAAGTGACTACGCCGGCCCTATGGTTACAGATGAGAGGCATGGAACTGAGTATTACTTGCTCCCGGTGTAATTGGGAGTGGGAGTCAACAAAACACCTATGGCTTTACTGCCCGCTAGCAGATGAATTGTGGATGTGGTGGAAGGTCCACTGGACTAGATAGGTGGGTACGGACTGGGAATGGACTGATAACTGGATACTGTTTGCCAAAACACCAAACAACGTAAGACTACAGAAAGGTTAGGGTTACGTTGCCCTGGTTTGCAGAGGAATTGTAATGGATGTCTTGTGGAAGTCAAGGAACGCACCGGTCTTCAAAAAGGAGAAGACAGCAATCCAACAATAGACGTCTATGGTGAAGGCTTCACTGCATATGGCGATAATGGCAGATTGGAAAAGATCCCGCTCAAACACAGGCGGAGGCAGGTATTGGTTTGTGAAAACATGGACATTGAAGAATGCACTGGCCAAGGTTAATCCAGAGGGTCAACTCTTGATTGCCCCGTGATTGTGTGATTAAAAGATATCATGAGGATAGTAGGCCAGTTGGCTTTGGGGCAGAATGTCCCCCGCTCCTTACAATTTTTTTTTCTGAGCTTCATGTTACATTTCTGGAAGTGTGGAGTAAGGGTCTCGTTAGACACTCCTAAAAGAATCCTAAACTTTTAAGGACGAGTCCTAAAGGTTTTTCAGGATTTTGTGCGGTGTCGTTACACGCAATCCTAAAAATGGTCTTTTAGGATTCGTCCTAAAAGGTTTCCTGCAGCCGCTTTTCATATGTGTATACGCAGCCGCGTCGCCGATGTCCGTCCATTCCTGGCTGGTGTCTGTGGTACACACTATCGAGGGCCGTCATCGGGTAGGGCTCTTCGGTGAAAAATGCGCGTAGCCGAGGGACTTCAAAAATTCAAATTCGAAATTTGGCGGACGCAGGGTGGCGGAGCGAAGGATGGGCAGGCGATGCATGCGATGTAGAAAAGATGGCGCTGGGGAACCCTTCGGCGTGGGTATCCATCTTTCGAGTCTGCACGACTGGTGACCAGCGGGGGCATGTTCGGCAGGGGCGCATCTTCACCTCCGGGGCGCGTACTGTCTTCCACCATCGTAGAGCAGCGGGCGCATCTTGACCTCCGGCGTGCGTACTCTCTTCCACCATCGTAGAGCAGCAAACGCATCTTGAGTTCCGGCGTGCGTACTGTCTTCCACCGTCGTAGAGCAGCGGGCGCATCTTCGAGTACGACGTGCCCTCTACTGTCGCAGTGTGGAGCAGCGGGCGCGTCTTCAGCTCTGGTATGCGTATTCTCCTATGGCAGCGCTCTTCGTTAGCGGGCTCATCTTCGGCTCCGGCGTGCGTCGTATCCTGTGCCAGTGTGGAGCACCGGGCGCATCTTCGACTCCGGCGTGCGTGGTCTCCTGTGGCAGTGTTGAGGTGGTGGCGCATCTTCGGCGGTTGTGGACACGCGTTACTGTGCACAGGCGGAACGATTATCGGAGATGGATGTTCGCAGCTGCGGACACGGTCTATGTGAAGAAGAGAGCGAGGCTGTGGCGATGGCGGTGACTGTCGTTGTCCTGAACGCGATGAGCAACATGTCGTCCTCCTCCCGCGACATGCGTTTACAGCTCTGTAAATGAAGAGCGTTGTTGCAAAGTGTTGTCGAAGCGCCGGATTGCGTGGCGATGTGCGAAGCAGTCGTGCAGTTGGGTTTCGCGCTGTCGTCTGGCATTTTACCGCGGCAGACCCCGCGTTGGTGGATTAAACGACGCACAGGTGGAACATGGGAGGACCTTCGGCTGTGTGATGACGCCACCGAGGACTACTACCACATGCCTGCATGCCCGCCATCGGACGTTCCCCTACCGCCCGTTTTGTTGATGCCCTCGTCTTGCGATGTTGTTTCCACGGCCGGCACGACAAACACAAGTGGAGGAAGACGTCAATCAGGAAGACGACGACAGTGAGTACCAGCAGAGGCAATCTCCTCTGCACGTAAGCCATCAAATTCACCTCGGGACCCACCCTTGCACGCGACTAATGCAGAAGTGTCTTCTGACATGCCGAGGGATAGGGCCGCTCGACCTTCATATGCCGACAACCAGCAGAGAAGACGACAAAGGTGCCTGCCTTCAATTTGAAAATCGACCGTTGGCGCCTACGCACTACCCGAAGCACCTCGGTATGTCGTCCTGCGCACGTCGTCGTCCTCCTCCGCTTCCCACAGCCCAGCCAATGGTCCACCATGGACGCCAGCCCGCCCTCACTCACCCCCCCCCTCGCGCTCCACCCCCTCTGCCAACGGCTACCGTTAGTGGCCGTTGCCCGCGTCGAGCCGTAGAAAACCTCCGATGTCCGACCACCGACTCGACGGACCGCTTTTGGACCACCAACGAGTGTCGAGGGTGCCATGCGCGCGTCGCAATGAGTCCGTGAAACACGGGAATCCTAAATTTTTCAGTAGGTCGGGGGCTACTGGAAAATTTTAGGACGATTTTGCCTGGGGAATTCTAAATCCTTTAGGACTTGTCCCAACGCCATTTTCACATTTTTGATCTCGAAATTGGATTTAGGATGCAATCCTAAAAACACGCACTTTTAGGAGTGTCTAACAAGACCCTAAGTCATAATTAGTACGAGGTAATGTCAGAAGGTTATGTAGGCTGCGGGAATTTTGAGTAGGAGATGAAGGGACTCTGGACCCTCTTTCCAGAACGATCTTATGGGACTGTTACTTCATGCTCACTCCGGGTTGAATTGTGAGGTCCCCGGCCTCATGCCTTTGGCTTTTTTTTTTTTTTTTTTTTGGTTAAAATTCTTTTTTAAAAAGGGCGACGACCTTGAGATAGTGGGGCTCGTTCGACACTCCTCGGGGGCCGAAGTCCCCCAACGAAATCGTCGTTCCACTTGTCCTCGGGGGAAAAAAATAAAAAAAAACGTGACTGGGATTCCTCGGGATTTCCTCAGGGATTCCTCGGGCTACAGGCAATTTTCATTTTTCCCCAAGGAACCTTTTGTAGGATCCTCGGAGCTCCCCCATGTGGAAGAACGGGGTCTTCGACGGCACCTCAATCAACTTCTTTTGTCGGCGGCGTCTGGTCCATCGGTGGTTCGGGCGACTTGCGCACAGACATGTTGGGTCGCCAACGTTCAAGCGGCCCAATGTCCACTCCAACGGTAACCGTTTGCGGGCCGGTAGCATCCCCAAGGTGCACACCGCAGTGCACCTTGGGGTTGGGCTTCAGCCGAAGCGGGAAACCGCCCAACGGTCGACAAATGCGAATATTTGAGGCGGCACAGCGCGTCCACAACACGACGGCTTCCGTTTGTCGCCAAGCGTGTATCGCCGTCTGCAGATATCTTGATGTTATGTTGTCGCCCATGTTGTCTTTCGTCTAGTGCCGTTGTCGTCGTCCGACTAATGGCTGACGTATTTCGTAAGCTGCCGCTACTGCTTCTCGTCGTCTTTTTGCTGGTCGTCGTCGTAGTGTTTCACGTGTGTTTCCTCAGGAACGCGCCGCAACGTCGACGTAGACGAACTTTGTCGATGAAGCCCGTCAGGACGGATACACGACAGGGATCCCCCAGGGGAGGAGGGGAGCAGGTAGTGAGTAGGCGTGCCGTTGGAAGTTCTTCTTCGGTTTGTAGGTTGTCATTGGGGGTCGGCAATTCTGCATTGCCGTCGCATTTGCAACCCCTCCCAGACTTATCTGATGAGAACGAGAGGGAGGGACGGGCACGCACTGTTCCATTGGGTAGCGGATCTACGCAGGAATGGGCTTGGACGGAGCTGTGCGGTGGCAGTGCCGTCGTGCACGAGCAGTCCTTCACTGAACTGCTGCGGCCGGGTCTCGACGGGGAAGAACGACACGACGAAGTGAACCTCTCTTCCGGTTTGTCTACAGGGAGGTGTGGAAGCCAGACGCGCACAGTGATCACCAATCCCCATCCCGGCGACGACGGCGGGCAGTTAACTGCTGTAGACCGATCATTGAAATCCACCGGCGCGCAGCAGTGGTAGGGACGATCAACTTCCATCTCCAGGAGCGCGCAGGGTCGCCCACATTTCATGCAGTCACCGTCTCCGGTGTCTGCTGCGTCCAACCTGGGACGTCGACGTGGCATTGTCGCGGAAAGGGGGGGCAACTTGGACGACGTCGGTGACGACCACGACGGGAGGTTACTGTGGGCGGAGCAACGACGGGAGCTGAGGGAGGGTCGAGAGGAAGCAATCAGGCGGGGGGTGGAGCGTCTGCGGATGGACGGACAGGCGGAAGAAGTTGAGGAGCCAGATGTGGGCTTCCGTTCGAAGAAGACGACGACAACAACGAAGGAGAAGGAGGGGACGGGAACGGGGGTTACGCCTCGCCATCAGGGAACAGCGACATGGGTGGGAAGGGCGGCAAGACGCAGGCGAAGAGCGGGAATGGTCATGGGCGGCCGAAGAAAGCACAAGCTAAGCCGAACGACGAAGACGGCGACGGCGAGGCAGAGGAGAAGCGAAACTTTTGGAGTGTTGAACATATCATCGCCCTCATACGGGCGAAACGCGATTAGGATGTTCACTTGCAGGGGATGGGCCACGCGTACAGCCGGATGAAGGCGAGGGAGTGGAAATGGAATGACGTCGCCAGAAGATTGAAGAATGTCGGTGTGGAGAGGAAGGCGGAGAAATGCGGGCAGAAGTGGGACAACCTCATGCAGCAATTCAAGAAAGTTCATCATTTTCAATCGTCGTCGGGGGGAATCGACTTCTTCCAATTGAGCGCGAAGGAGAGGGCGAGCAAGGGCTTTAATTTCAATATGGATCGCGCCATTTACGACAAGATTAAAGGGTTGACCGGTTTGAACGAAACCATTAACCCGAAAAACATTATAGACACTGGTGCCTCTCGCGGTGTGCATTTGCCTTCGACGTCGAATGCTGATCCTGAAGCAGTTGGTGATGCCGACGCCAGTGCGGGGGGAGACGATGAGGAGGAGGGATCGACTCGTGGTTCTTCCCAGACGATGGGCAGCCCTAGTGCGTTTGGAAAGAGGAAGAGCACGCGGCAGCAGACGTTCGTGGCAATGACCGATTGCATGGAGAAGCACGGTGCGTTGATGGCGGCCACGATGGAGAGTGCCAGCAAGCGGCAATGCAACATTCAGCTACGACAATGTGAGGCATTAGAAGCTGAAGTGCAAGTGCAGAAGACGCATTACGCCACGTCCGATGAAGTCAGCAAACTCATGTGCCATGCGTTGTTGGAAATAGCAAAGGCTATTCGCGAGCGATAGAGTTTGTAGGCATTGTGTTGTGTACCAGTGGCGCCGTGTAATGTAGTACTCGGTTGACAGTTGGTGGTTTCCCGTTGTAGTCGGCTTCGTCGGCAAGGTGTCGTCTTCGTTTCGTGTATGCTTCGAGTGTTGTTTTAGGACGGTTGGGCACATCGGTTGCCCGCCTTGGTGGTTCGAGACGGGTAATCCCGTCATTCAATTGAATTCAATTTGAATTTGGAAAGTGCAGAATGCACTTACCGTTGGTTTTAAATTGTTGTGCTTCAATCCCTCGTACTGCGAGTGTTTCTATTGTCTCAGATCAATGTCTCTCTTTCTCTCTCTCTCTCTCTCTCTCTCTCTCTCTCTCTCTCTCTCTCTCTCTCTCTCTCTCTCTCTCTCT